CAAAATGAAGAGCAGAGGGAGGGAAGGAATTTCAGAGAGCTAGTTTAGCTGGCCATGAATGAGATTCCCTAATGAGCCACACTACATACCGGGGTTGGTGCTGGCCACTCCGGAGGTAGCTAGTTCCCTGTCCCACAAAGGCTGGATAACCTCTTGTTGGAAACAATGTCAGGGAACCTTTGGTCAGAGGCTGTTTGGAGCAGGTGGCAGCTCCTGCCAGCTCTGAGGTCTGGGGGTCCTTGGTTTTCTACCTCCCCCTCCCCATCTGGAAAGTAATAGACATTCACTTTTTAAAGGGGAGGAAGGTCCCAGAGGGAGGCCCCCCAATTCCAGCTGCAGACACCCCTCTTCTTATGCAGTTGGGGCCCCTCGGTGGGCCTGGGCCCACCCCACTCCAAGGCCCTGGCTCCCTGATGGCTCGGGGTACAGGGAGAGGTCGGGGCAGGGCCTGGGAGGCTGAGCGTTGAGACGATTCACTTTCCCATGATTTGGGTCTCTGAGTCTTGGCCAGGCTTGGCCTCTGGGAACTTTCCAGCCCTGCCTTGGCCCAAAGGCTTGTCCAGAGCACATACTGCAAAGACTGCAGGGCTGCTCCCTGTGGGCTGAAGGAACGCCTCACTCGTTCCCAGAAATTCTCCTCTTTGGGCCCAGCCCTGACCATAATGAGGCGGCTGGTTGGGTTTTTGTTTCCTGACCCGACCTTAGCCAAGTCCCAGTGTGCTCCCCAGCCCTGCTTGCCCCACCTTTAACCCTGCCCCTGGCCCACTGACCCGTAGGCCCGACTCTTCCCTCACCCATCCATGGACAGTGTCCTGTCCTCTCCTGTCCCTTTGGCTCTCCCAGGAGCTTATGGATGATGAGACAACTTCCCCATTAGTGCATCTGGCCCCTTGGGAGGTGGCTTCCTGAGCAGTGAGCCGGCCACGTTCATCGGGTTTCTGTCAGGTGAGGGCGAGGTGACTGCTGAGGCCCTTTCTGCCTCAGAGTCTGTGATATTTCTGGGGCCAGAGGGCGTCTTGAGGCAATGCTGTGGCCCCTGCCCAGCAGTCCCCGAGGCTCATTGCTGGGGATGTTGGAGCTGGCTCCTCTGTTCTGTGAGCTCTGTTCTTCCTAGAGCTACATTCTGGAAGTCCTGGGATCTCAGCACTAAGGCATGTCTGAGAGGGTGAAGGAACGACATTTCCCCCAATCGTCCAGGACCCCGGATTGCAGCTGGGAGAGACTTTCGAGGGCATGGAGTTTAGCCTCCTAATGCTAAACGGTAAAGAAACCCAGACAAGGGAAGTGATGATTCTAAGATAGTAGGAAGTGTCAGGTGCAAAGCCAGGATTCGAACCAGGGACCTCTGATTCAGCCTTGTGGAAAGCATGGCTTGCTGTGCCCACACACCGTCTGGGTGCTGGCAGGATTTGGGGTGCAAGGCTCAGTGACTTGGGGAAGAGGGGATCCTGCTGCAGCCCCCCTCCCATTCCATCTAGTCAGGCTGTTCCTCACTAGCCCCGTCCAGAGGCTGGCTGGGAGTAATAAGGGGAAGTGGGTCATGACCATTAGATCAGAAGCTCCTCCAGGGCAGGGAAAGTTTTTTGCCTCTTTGTATCTCAGGCTCTTGGCATGATGCCTGGCCCTTAGTAAGCACTTAATAAATGTTGATTGACTGGCTGTCAGGGAGACTGGGGTTTTGAGGGTCAGGAGGCCATGCTGCTTCCATAATTCTAGCTGTCCCCAGTGGGGATGGACTCCCCCACCTCAGAGGCCCTGGTCAGAGATGTCTAAGATGAGGGACCCCTGCTCAGGGACAGCTCGGGCCTGAGGACATGGAGATTCTCCAAACTGAAAGATTTCCTCGGTCCGAAACAACTTTCCCCGCTCACTTCTGGACTTGCCTTGGCGGAGGTCGGGGGCTTCTTTGTGCGGAAAGGGAAGGGGCTGCTTGCGTCTCCTGTTACCTGAGGATTTCCAAAGCCCCTGGTTGTAGTATCAGCCTTAGAGAGCCTCTGTGTGGTGTGTGTGGGGAGCCAGCCAGTGGGCAGAGGAGGGATCGGGAGGGGGGGGCGTTCTCACCTCTGCTAGGCTGTGACTTCCCTGAGAGCAGAGTCAAGGGCCCCCCAGCCACCGCCTCCTCTTTGCAGCCACAGACCCCTGTCCCGTTTCAGTGGGAGTGAACACCTTGAGTCCTGGGCACATCCTTGTACCCTTCCCAAGGGGGAGTCCTTGGTCCTGGCACCTGGGCCCTCTGGGCATCTTTGCATCCCCTTCGGGTCACTCCCAAACAACTGTCCCAGAAAACAGCTCAGACCAACCTTCGGGGCTCCCAAACTCCTCCAAAACATCGCTGGGCTGCCACCCCCCCCAGGGGCCGGCTCCATCTGCGCCCTAGGGATCCCTCTGCGCCCTAGGGATCCCTCTGCATGGATAGTCTTTTGGGGGAGGGGCTCCCTCCCTTGTGCATTTACGTCCCCACTCTCCTGATACGCCTGGCACATAGTAGGTGCTCAGTAAATACTGATTTAATTGAACTGCCTCCAGTCTGGTCTAGCTTCCTTCCTTCCTTTGGGATGGGAGACAAGCCACCCCTACCTTCTTTGACAAATGGTTTATACATGTACAATGAACCAAGCAATAAACATTTATTAAGCACCGAATGTATGCCAGGTATTGGGGATATGCAAGTAAAGCAGTCCCTGCCCTCAGGCAGCCTACAGTCTACTTGGGGATGAAACACATTCTGGCACAGAAGTGCTGTCCGGGAAGGGTGACTGACTCCCCAGCCTTCAGGAGCTTCCCATTTCGGCAGCCCATAGGCCAGGGCTGTGGGACTTCAGGTAGTTCCCTTTCTAGGCCTTGGTTTCCCCACATATAAAGTGAAGAAATTAAACTACGTGATTACCAGGACGCCTTGTAGCTCTAGACTCCTTCTGTGCCTCAGTTTACTTGTCTGCAGAATGGGAGAGGAGCATAACCCTTGTCTGTCTCCCTCTGAGGGCTGAGAGGATGCCTTGAGACAAGGGACAGAAGGCGCTTTGTGGCTGTGAGGAGGAGGAGGAGGAAGAGGCTGGTGCCTTCCTCAGCACACACCGGAGCCTCCCTGGGGCCTCCTCCTGTGTCCCCCATCCCGAGGCTGAGGGCTCAGGACCCTTCTCCTCCAGACTGTGCAGTCTGGGAGTCTCAGCCTGACCCTGAGCTGGGCGGCCTCCTGGCGACCCCTTCCCCTTGCCTGCAGCTGCATAGAGAGCAGCGTGATCCGGCCCATCCCACAGGATCCGACTTCCCAAAAGAGGGAGAAAAAGTGCAAAAGCAAAGCATTTTCTCAGGAAAAGGGAGGTGGCTCTTGGCCCCCTCTTCCTGATGGGGCGGCCGGAGTGGGGAGCTGAGGAAGGGGACCCAAGGGCTCTGCTCTCCTTGGGGTCGGGGGAGAGCAATGAGCGGCTGCTGCGTCCCTGCCCCCCAAACCTCCCACCAGCAGGCTTTGATCCTTCTTCCTCTGTACCCTCATGATGTCTGTGGAGGGGCCTGGGGATGGATTCAACGTCCCAGCTTCGTTTAAGCTGCCCGTGTGTGCCTTGGCTCTCCTTCCCCATAGGGTGGACGTGCTGACCTTCTCTGGACATGGCCATCTAGGGGAGGACGAGAGGCAGGCGGGTGTCCTTCCCTTTGGATCTGGGAAGGAAGAAAACCAGGCACTTGTTGGGGGAGCGGGCATCTTCTAGAATCCCTTCAGAGACTCTGTATTTAGTGTCCAGAGAAGGCTTTGGACGAAACGTCCAACTGGGGCCTCTGGCCTTTGGAGAGGAGCGTGTCCATAGGCCTCAGCCAGACCCTGAGCTTGGTTTCATGCCCATCTATGCCCATTGCCCAAGAGGAACAGCACCCAGGCTGTGTAGATGGGGATCCACGAGAGCTCTGTGAGCCCAGGCGCGCCCACATCTCTCCTGGGCCTTGGAGAGCAGGGGATCTTTGTACCACGCTGCATCAGTAGAGCCCCTCCGTGGACCCGTCTGCCTTTCAAAGTGAATGGTGTGGAGGTGGAGGCAAGGTGTCTGGGTCAGTTAGATTGGGAGGCAGGGGGAAGGCCTCTGGTTCTAACCAAGGAGAATCCCCCAATGGCCCAAGTGGAAGAACGTCATCCTACAAGCCGGTCCACAGTCTCACCTTGGGCATTGTGGGTGGGCTCGGGCCTGCCTCGTGGCGGTAGTGAACACACGCACAGGAGCTGGGTTGCAAGCCAAGCATTGGCTTGTGGATTGTGGCCAATGGTGTTAGACCCAAGAGCCACCAGGCAGTCTGTAATTGGATGGAAGATGTAAGTCCCACTAATGGATGATCACGGGGGGGCTGGGCTGTTGTCCGTGTAGCCCCCACTGTGGAGGAGAGCCCCTGGGGAGCAGGGCACCTTTCAAACCATGCCAGTGGGCTGGCAAAGGCAGAAGCCCCAGGGTTAGACCATGGAAGCCACCCCCAGGGATGCAGGGCGGGCCCAAGCACCCCAAGGGTCGCCTCGGCAGTCCCAAGGCCCTGGCCCTGAGTGACACTAAACAGGCTGTGTTGGAGAAAGCAGCTGCCCTCACGCCGGGGGCCTCAAGGGCAGCCCCCACACTCATTTTCACATCCAGACCCCCCCAGCTCTCTCTGCAAACCTCAGACCTGGTTAGCCCATGCCCAGTGAGCGCTCAGGCCAAAAAGCCTTCCCCACTGAGAAGAGGGGCCTCTGACCTACTTTTGGAAAAGAGGATGAAGTGAAGTCTCTGGTGGCCCTGGGGGGTGGGGGACCTCTGGCCTTCCAGCTCTGTGCAGGGCACAAGCCGAAGCCCCATGTCCTCCTGGCATTCTCCACGGTCCTCTTAGCTGGCCTCAGTGACGTGATGGCGCCAGGCCCCCCAGGTCATTCCAGAACTCCAGGAGGATGGTGGCCCCCTCCCCACCTCCTCTCCTCCCTGGACACAGAGCTCTCTGGGCCCCTGTGGGGCCTGCTGCCTGACGCCTCCTCCTCTTCCTCACCACAGGTGACCGTCACCACCATTGGCTACGGAGACAAGGTGCCGCAGACTTGGATCGGGAAGACCATCGCCTCCTGTTTCTCAGTCTTTGCCATCTCGTTCTTCGCCCTCCCTGCGGTAGGTGCCGGCTGGTCTCAGGGTCGCTGCTCCCTTTCTGGGTGAAGTTTGGAGACTCCAGCACAGGGAGCCTAGAACACATCTGGCTCCTTCCAGGGGAGACCCTGGGCAGCCAAGGCTTCCTTCCTTCTCTCCTGCAGGGCATTCTTGGTTCTGGCTTTGCCCTGAAGGTCCAGCAGAAACAGAGACAGAAGCATTTCAACCGCCAGATCCCAGCTGCGGCCTCCCTCATTCAGGTAAAGTGCCTTTGCCTCTTCACACCTGGGCTGTGGGAAAGGTAGGAGAGGCCTGGCCCAGGGGTCAGGAGGCCACAAAGGCCTGGTTCTGCATCCTGAGGGAGTGGATGGTGCTGGGGTCAGCTGCTCTTGTCCAGCCAGCCCATGGCTGGCCGTGACCCCAAGGCATCCTCTCTGAGGTGGCTGGGGATGCCTCCCCTGCCCCAGGCTCCTCCATAGCATGTCCACTTTGGGGATGCTGAGGAAATGCCCCTGAGATAATAGCTGCAGGGCTAGATTTTAGCAGTGGAAGCTGGGGGAGGGGAGGCAGAAAACTCGTGGTCAGTCCCACCCTCTCCTGAGCTAGACTCCTTGGTCCAACTGAGCGCATTTCAGCGAGCAGGAAGGGGACCGGGAAAGGGGAGCAAGCGTTCCTGGGTCCTCTCACTTTGAACAAAGCCTCCCTCAGCCTGGACACCCCCCCACCTCCTGCCGTTCTGCTATTTCCTTCAAGAGCCCTTGTGGATGGAGCAAGGTCGGTCGATTGAGCAATTAAGGTGAAGGTCAAGGCAAAGACCTTCCCCAGGACCTTTCTTTTAGCTTGGCTGGGGTCAGGAGACTTCTTTCCTTCCCCTGCCATCCCATCTCCAAAGTCCAGCATCTGCCTTGATTGGGAAGGAAGCACTTTGGATTCTGGGGGCCTTTTGGGAGCACCATTAGGGCTCAGGAGAGGAGCAAGGTAGTTGCTGGCCAGGTCCAGATCATCGGATGGGAGAGCCGTGACCCTGGCTGGAGCCCTGAGGGGTTGTTGGCCTGAGTCTCCAGGAGACCCCACTGAATCTGCTGACAGGTCCACATGACCCCTGTGTTTGGGGTCCCCTGAATCCCTGGCTTCCCAGACTGAGTTTGGGAGAGGAGATCTATTCAGATCTCGGCCTTGAGCAGGCTCTGGCCTGCTTGGCCTCTCTGTTCCCTGCCCTTGAACCCTTTCCAGAGAAGAGCCCGTGGGACCTGGCCTGCAAGAGCCTACTTAGAGAAAGATGCTATTGACAAAAGAAGGCCGCAAAGAGCAGAAGCCCAGCAAGAAGGAGGGTGCCGCCAAGCAAAGGCCCCAGCGCCATTCATTATCTCCCAGCTGTGACTCTGCCTTTTAGAGGCCTGTAAATTAAGGCCTAAAGTCGGGCTCCGGCTTACTCCCCAGGGGCCGGGTGGCCGTGGCCAGAGAGCACTGGAGAGCATGTTCCAGCCTCCCTCCCCCAGGGAAGGCCTTGGCCAGGGCCAGAGTGGACACACGTTCATCCCTCGGAACTCCAACGTTCTGAGGCGGTAGGCACTGCGGCGGCAAGGCCAAGGTTGTAGCAGGAGATGAAGCTGCATCCTTATTCAAGGATGGGAGTTTGGGCTCAGGATGAAAGAAAACAGAAACCTGAGAGGGTCTCTACAGACGTGACTGGAGGTAGAACAGGCCCCACCAGGGCACGGTGGAAACACACGTGTATACATGTGCTCATACAGGCACACACAATATAACAGGCATGCACAGGACATGGATACATGAATGCCACCTATATACACAGACATATAATACAACATACAGACACGTGTGAATGCATGTACACACATACACATATACACATGCACATATACAATGTGGCATGTATACATGCATGCACACACAACACAATATGCACGTGTGAAACATACAGATACGTGGCTATGTGTGGGTGCACGTACGGAGAATGGTTAGGAATGTAGCTTTTAAGGTAAAGCGATGGAGGCACCCTACTTTCCTAGGTGCCCCAGCTTCTGTGAGCTGTAGATGAGAGGGAGGGCTGAGACAGTACAGCTGAAGTCCAGGGGAGGAAGGTGAGTCAGAGGGGTTATGCCCCCATCACATGTCACAGTCTGGGCTCAGGCATTTAGGATGCAGACCCTGGGGTGGAGAGTGGGAGCTCAGGTCCCCCGAGGGCGGCAGGGAGCCCCTGGAGCAGCCTCGATGTCTCCTGAAGGGTGGGGAGGACTTTGGAAGAGGGAAAAGGGAGCTAGAGGGCTCCCTCTGAGGTCGAGGCCTGGCTCTGGCCCTTCCCACCCAGGAGTGTAAGTGAGAAGCTTTAGGTGCAGAATCTGCTAGGCCCATCCTCTGCTAGGGCAGGGCAGCCAGAAGGCCAGTGACTGATATGTGGCTGTGTCTCACAAGAAGACTTCCTCTGTCTTAGTTTCTCCAGCTAACAGGCAGAGCACAGGAGCTTTGCGGATAATTGATTTGTCCGCTCCCAAAGCTGGGAGGGTGAGGGGAGAGGACTCTCGTTGTCCAAGGGTCTTGGGGGCCTCTCATTAACAAGAACCAGAGGCTATGCCCTTCACCCATGGGTAGCTGGAATGGATTACTCTTGTTTAGAGAAAAGATACAACGCTGAGGGCTTGGCATTTTGGTCACGTGTGGACGTGTCTGGCACTCAGCTAGGACTCCTCGTCTTTGCCCCTTAAACCTGTCCCTCTTCCCAACTTCCTCCTTCTGTGGAGGGCATCACCATCCTCCTGGTCCAGTCCCATTTTATGAAATGTCTGCTCTCTACCATACCCTAGGCTAGGTGCTGGGGATCCAGAGACCAAATGGACATTTCCTGCCCTCTGGGGCACTTACATTCTCTAGGGGAGGCGAGGATGCAGCAGACAAACACACAGAAAGATGTGTCGGTCTGAAGAGGTGACTAGGGAATCATGGATGGTTCTCCATAGAAGGCGGCACATGAACCAAGCCTTGAAGAAAGCTATACATTCATTGTAAAAGGTAGAAGCTCTGCCAGCGTGGATGTAGGAGACTGGAGGTAGAGTTCAGGGAAGAGCTGGAGGCTGACGTCTAGAGCTTGGAGCGAGTGAAGGAGATTCAGAAGAAGTGAATGACCCAGCCAATGGACCGGTCTCTCCAATGTACATGGCGGGCATCCTGTGTGTTGGGTGTGTTGGGAGCGTCAGGGACAGCTCTCCTCAGCTAGGCTTTAGACTCAGTTGCTTCAGAGAGCCCTTGCCCAGGTTGAGGGGAAATCTAGGTCAGAATGATGCTCCCGCACCATGAGACGACATCGACCAATGTTCTTGGTCTCTTCTTCAGCACAGACATGGGTCAAATGATGCCCAGATGCCACATAGGGCATCTCCCCCAAGAACTCTCTGTTCCAGGAACATCAGGATGGCATGTTTGTGACTGAAAAAATCCTCCAAAGTCCAAAACAAACCCAAAAAACAAAACTGGAGGCAACCCAAGCGTCTAACAATGGAGGGATAGTCAAATTGTGGCTAGTAAAGTCATGGAATATTGTAATACAATTAAGACTAAGTGTGAGAAACATAAGGAGATCTGGTCCGACCTTTATGGAATAAAGCAAAATCCCAACAACGACAGCAACAGCAGACTGAGGGCGACTCGGTCCACCCCGACTGTGACCACAAGAGAGGGAATGTAAATGAGACAGAAGGAAAAGACAAAGGGCTCTGATGGGAAGGGACCCCGGGGTGGGGGCAGGGCTGAGAAACAGGGATGGGGGTGGGGGGGTGGTTTATGCATTGAACTTAATTAAGTTAAATGTAAATAGTTACAAGGCAAGCTTCAATAGTTCCATTGCTGTTTATTATTAAGTTTATAATGTCATTAAAAATCCTCTGCTGCTCCCAAATTGTCACCTTTACAACCATCCATCTACCCACCTATCCTTCCATCGATCCATCTGTCTATCCTGCCATCCATTCATCCATCCATCCATCTATTCTTCCTTTATCATTCTATCCATCCATTCACTCATCTATCATTTCTTCATCTATCCTTCCATCCATCCATCCATCCATCCTTCCATCCATATATTCTTATTTACTTCCTTCAACCATCTATCCATCCATACAGAAAAAGGAAAGTCTGTATATATGTGCCTTGAAAAATGAATTTCTGAAGATTGAGGATGAACAGACTTCTTTTTTGTCAATGATTTCAGACGGCCTGGAGATGCTATGCAGCTGAGAACCCTGATTCTTCAACATGGAAAATTTACATCCGAAAACCTGCCCGAAATTATCACCTGTTGTCACCCAGTCCCAAACCCAAGAAATCTGTCATGGTAATGAACCTGTTCACCTTTAATTCTGGTGGGGGCTACCCAGCTGGTGTTCTTTTCCAAAGCGGGTCAGTTCTGGTTTTTGTTCTAGGACATAGGTTCTGTTGGGGGAGGGGTGCCCAAATGCATGTGTATGCATGTGCATATATGCACACTCCTGGGTGTCTGTATGCAGTGCTGTTGAACACTGTTAGAAATGCCAATGTGGGGCTTGGGAATTCTTGCCCCACTTCTGCCCCTTGCCCACTCATGCAGAAATCAGCAGTTAAACAACAGGCATTTGTTAGGTGACTACTGTATGCCCTTTTCCGTGTTTGGTATAGGAGACATAAAGACAAAAGCAAAGCACTCCTGCCCCCAAGGAGCTTATAACAGAGGAGACAACACGCATGTTATATGTACATGTTACATGTATGCACATGTGGATCATCCTTCATTTTCGAAGAGGACCAATGATGTCACAGGGTGATATCTTGATTTGGTGGGAATTGGTTTTAAATGAGACAGAGCTGTGCAAAGTCCTCAGTTTCACTTGATCTTCCTGAGTTGCTGAAGTCCAGTGGCAGGACAAAAGTCAAGATGGCACGTGTGTATATATACATATGGAGAGAGGAGAGAGAGAGAGGAAGAAGAAAGAGGAAAGAGAGGGGAGACAGGAGGGAGAGAGAGAGGGGAGGAGGGAGAGAGAGAGGGGAGGGGGAGAGAGAGACAGACAGAGAGAAAAAAACAGAGAGACAGAGAGAGAGAAAGAGAAAAAGAGAAAGAGAAAGAAAGCAAGAGAGAGAGAGAGAGAGAGAGAGAGAGAGAGAGAGAGAGAGAGAGAGAAGGAGAGAAAGAGAGAAAGAGAGAAAGAGAGAAAGAGAGAAAGAGAGAAAGAGAGAAAGAGAGAAAGAGAGAAAGAGAGAAAGAAAGAAAGAAAGAAAGAAAGAAAGAAAGAAAGAAAGAAAGAAAGAAAGAAAGAAAGAAAGAAAGAAAGAAAGAAAGAAAGAAAGAAAGAAAGAAAGAAAGAAAACATATACAAAGTGCTCCCCTGGGGGAACAGAAAGGCGTCTTGCAGAAGGTGGGATCTCAGTCTTGGACAAGATGAAGGCTTCGAGAGGTGATGGAGGAGGGAGAGCCTCCACCCATGAGTGACAGCCAGTGCCAAGTCATG